AGGGAGGGAGGAAGGAAGGGAGGGAGGGAGGGAGGGAGGGAGGGAGGAAGGAAGGAAGGAAGGAAGGAAGGAAGGAAGGAAGGAAGGAAGGAAGGAAGGAATTGCCCAGCCAGGCATTCCTGAAGTATCATCTGTGGGTCCACAACGGTTCCCACAGAGATGCTGTGTGGGCCTTCCTGCTTATGACTTGTGGTTTCTCTGGCGAGTTCTCTGTCAGGAGAAATACACAATGCATTTATATTTAACACAACCCAAATGTCTTCTCCTGGGTGGCTCACACCAGGCAATGCCCATGGATGCCAAGAACTTTCTGTTTTTAGTTGCTTTGTGGAAGGAAGAAGAAATGGGTCAGCGATCCAGAGAATGAGCCTGGCTATAAACAGAATGGCTCTGGAAGCTCCTCCAGGGTCAAGGACACATTGTCCTTGCCCTGCTGCTCTTACTTCTTTGAACTTGGATCTCCTTATTAACATGAGACTTTAACCTGCATCGTCCAGGGAGGACTAACTCACCGGGCGCTGGTGACAGAAAGAGGGAGTAAAACCCACAGAACCTCGGATGCTAGCTACAGTGGATCCTGACATGCGCAAAAGGCAGACACAATTTTGTGCAGAAGTCAGGTGCCACTGACTTAGGGAGCCATGTAGAAGAGACCCAGAACCAGGAGAGAAATATTTCTTGGCCTGCACAAACACAGTCCATCCACCATTTGTTCTATCCATTTCATCCTCCTCGGGCATGTAAGACTTTGCCAAGCCTAGGGATGACCTCACAGAAATGCTGGCAGGGCCTCTCCTTGGCCACTCCCAGGGGAGTTAATGAGTGCAAACTCCTGGAAGGACGCAGGCTGAAGCGCTAACAATGACTACATCTGCAGAGACTCAACGTTGTCCTCCGGGAGCATCCCTGGTGTTACTTTTCCTTTTTAAGCAGTGAGTATGCCTTAATTGCTTTTGTTATTTCTGCAATTCCATCTTTTCATGTAATCCCAAGTAGAGACTAAGACCTTCATCAAAGAGGGCATGAATTCGTTTCTGCAGTTCCAATTTAAGGAGGGTGTGCACGCTCGTTGGCTAGAGACACAGAAATGGTGCATACCTGGGACAGCATTATCAGAGGTATTACATGTAGGAGCACAGATGTCCCTTCGAAAAGATGGGAGTGGCTGGGGCATCGAGAACTAGACACAGCTTTGCATTAAAGACTCTCTCACGTAAACCAAAGGCTCTCAGTGGAGACACTCTCATGAGGAGGTTAGCCTGTGTGTCGCTCTAGGCGGGAGGCAGCTCCTGCTGGTGATATGTGTGACTGAACAAGGCCCAGGGGAGGGAGATGCCGCAGAACCAGGGCTGTAGGAACAGCTGTGGCTAAGACTCTCCCCTTCCACAGTCTTCAGTGTTCCTTCTCAAATGCCAACTTCATTGCCAAGCTTCAGCTGTCCGTGGTACCTGTGGATACCTGCTTTCTTCCTGCCAGGTCTATTGACCTCTGGTGTAAATCTGCCTCTGTTGGGATGTTCCCCCATACACTTCTTTAATTTCACTGTTCTCTTGAATACTGAGAGTATGGCCCAACAGTTATTTACAAAAAAGTTTGGCCTTCAACAATCCCTTGTATACCAGGAGTCAATGACCAGGCAATAATGGCAGGAAGCTGCCTAGTGTTAGGGAATTCATTTCCAAAGGACCTTTCTTGGGAATGGCTTCTTTGAGTTCCAAGCTCCTGCTCTCCAAAGTCCCCTTATTTAATTAACTGTGTTTGCCTTTCTCTCTTCTTTCAACGGCCATGGGCTCCCCTGCTTTTGTTCTGCATGGCAAGTTCTCCAGTGGAGACGCTTCACTTCCCTTAGAATCTGGAGCCTCCCTGCTCCATAATTATCCCCATGCTCCTTTCTCCTGTACCCGTTCCCTCCCTCCCTACTCGAGGCCATCTCCAGACTCTAATACAGAGGCTCCTTGGAGGTTGTCTCTTGTACAGACATCACAGGCTGCAGTAGACAGATCTGTAATCCAGATTCTCCTGTTCCCCGCCCGTCTCCCTCCCAGGTCTTACCAATCAGTCCTGAGTAGGCCAGGAGGCAGTCTGCATAGTTCTCCTTTAGACAGCTGCTGGCTGACCTTGACTCGGGCTGGCAGTTGGTAAAAAAGTCCGCAAGGCGTGACCTGCAACAGAAAGGGGTAGTGGCACGCTGAAAACACCCCAGGCCTCTGAACTGAGGAGGGGTCTGGAAAGTCTGCCAATGACAGGCTCAAGGAGTGGCTGCTTGGAAGATCAACTTTCCAGGCTTCACAGAGCAGGGGAGGCGACTGTGGCTGCTGAGACTTAATTGTGACTTCAAAATGGTTAGTAGAGGATTTGGGATGTTCACAGTACAAAGACATGATACATTTCTGGGGCAATGAACACGCCAATTAGTCAAATCATTACACACTGCCGCTGCACGTGTCTTGGAATGTCACCTCCATAGCCCATGAATATGTATGATATGGTATGTGTCTATGACAAATACAAAATACATATGAAGGGAGAGAGGATAACACCACCTTTGGACAGACGTAACAGCCATTCCTCTTACAATATGCCTCTCTATCTCATCTGCTCCCTCACCCTGCCCGTCCCCTGAGGAGAAAGAAGGAGTGCTAGAATACGGTTGTACCCTCCCTTCTTCAACCTTCCGCGTGCCCCTCCCCAAGCCTTCATCTACCTGTGTGTCTGCCTGTTTGGACAGAAATCTTCAGGGTCTCTAACTGGAGAAGTCGAGAAGCTTTGAAGTTTCCATTCAATATTTATTTCTGACTAGGCTTATTTGCATCTTTAGGAAATACGCTTCTCCACACGCTCACCGGAGATTCACAGTGGGAAAATATTTACTTTATACAGAAACATGTTCCTGGCATCAAAATTGGATCCTACAGGCCATCTGCTCCCATAATTCCTAGAGCCTTGAAAAATGCATGTCTCTGTCTCTTGAGGTCTTTTTTTTCCCTCCAACCCAGGCACAGTGAAGTCGCTAGTCCCATGCCGGTAAAGAACTGCTTTTGCTGGGAGTGAAGGGTAAGTCAAGAGGTGTGGGTGATGCTCTCTGTGGGCAGAGCAGGCCTGCTCCTGGCCTTGTCTTCAGGGTCTCTTAGCCAAGGTATGGCTGTTAGCATTTTAGAACACTCCGAAGGTAAGCACGATTCGTCAAGAATCCCTGAATGGTGGTGAAGTTGTGGAGACACAGAAGTGAAAGGAAGCCACAGACTCACTGGTCTGGGGAGGAAGAGGGCTTGTTTTTGCCATGGGGCTGTTTTAGGATCTACAGGCGATATTGTTGGGGAAACCCTGAATAAGAAGAGGTCTCTTCTGAGGCAATCTTGGCAGACAGCAGTCCTGTTTCTATAGGACACAATGGACGAAGAGAGGTAAGCTACCCAGCGATGCACCCTTCACTCGGGTTGCATGCTAACATACTCAACTGTTTCTACTTCTTTGCACAAGAGAAACTGTAATTTGTTTAGCTGGGTATGATCCCAGTGAGCCTAAGTTCGCTGCACTGAGCTGGGCAGGGCTGTAGGAGTTAAATGTTTGTAAAGGTCCAATTTCTTCTAGGTTTTGAGGTGGTGGCCGGTTTGTTTCGTTTTTGAAATAAGGTCTTGCTATGTAGTCAAGGCTTTCCTCAAATTTGTAGTCCTTCTGCCTCAGACTCCCAAGTGCTAGGAATATAGTCATGATCTACGACACCTAGTTAACTACATAACGCCTCCTAGGTCCTGGTCAGTGGTCACAGCTCACAGTACACTTCGCGGGCTCTGCGTTTTGGGTGTGGGCTCTTCACAGGGCTGCAGGCTAAGCAATGTGGCTCTGGACACCACCCCTCCCCCAGCAGGTGAGCCGCTGAAGGTGTGAACACCTGGACCGCAAACACAGCCAAGGCCCTGCTGGTGCCCTCCGCCTTTCACTAAGCACAAGGAATGGCGTCAGACCTGACTACTTCCACTAAAGGGTTTCTTTTCTGCAGAAAATTTCTAAAGATGCCGCAGGCTTACTCAACTGGATCGGATGACGTTCAACTTGAATGGAGTGCTAATTTTAGGGAAAATAAAATCCTGGCCATGAAATTAATGCCCTAATGGCCCTGGGTTTCTAACCTGACTCCAGCTCAGACAGCTCCACACAGAACCTGGTGATAGTAGTGACCTGGAGCCTCCCCGTCCCCCGCTGCCACCGCCCCACCGACCCGCTCTGGGAAGTGATACTGAGTCTCTGGAGCACACTGCTAACTTAAGACACTGTGGTGGGGATTACGGTGCCTCCGTACAAGCTAATACCACCAGACTTGTCTTGCTTAACAACCCAGGAATTGACTCACATGGACCCTGGAATGGAAGGCTATGGAATCAGTAGTTGCAGAAAGCCTAAGCCTGATTGGGAGAATTAAACAAAGTATACAGCTCTGAACAGAACCCTGACAGTCCTCAGAGAGGAATGAAGGTCCAGGCTCTAGGACCAGTAAGGCTGTGACCTATGACCAGAGACTCAGAATGGAAGAAAGCAGCCGCAAGTGTTCAGAGGAAGACAGGAAGCTTCCACTTCACCAGGATAATTCAGCAAGCAGAGCATGGGCCAAAACAGCACCAATGAAATACAGTGGGGGAGCACTATGAAGACCACACGGTCCCTACAGTGGGGG